TATAATATAATAAACTAATCCAATTTAAAAGTTTAAAATATATATTTTTAAAATTTAGTAAAAATACTATACATATGTTGTTTAGATTAATGTATATATTTTTAGTTGTAATTTATATATTTTAACAATATATTAATAACTTAACAAAATATAATACATATAATATTGAGTATATTTTATTTTTTTTCTAATAGATATATTGCAAATAATCTATAATAAAACATTTTTAATTATTTTTTATATATATATATATATATAATTGTTGTAATTATAAAAAATATCTATAAAAATCTAATAAAATTTATTTAAATAATCTTAAAACTATGGATTTACTTTTATTTTTGCAAAAAATATTAAAAACTAAAATTATTATTATTATACTGTATCTGCAATTGACAGTCAAAAATAAAAATTAAAAAAAATTACGTGACATTTATATACAGTATTATATTGATATATAATTTAATCACACTATTAATGATAAACTATATAAAAAATAAATTTTACTAACTTTTTGTTGTTAATAACTAATTTTTATATTAAAAATTTTATATACATATATGTATATTAGAGAGCGAAAAGTTTCGGACCCGTACCTGACCCGTACCTGATCTGATACCTAAAATCTCGGACTCGGACCTGACCTAACATAGGGTACAAATTTACCTGACCTGACCTGACCTGACTATGTGGTCCGAAAATAATTTTATCAAAAAACAATTTTATTTATTCTATACCCGCAACAAATTTCTCTAAATTAACTTTAATTACTCGGGATTAACGATAACTGATTGTAGATCTAACTTAGATTCTAATAAAGTTAATATGTTATTATTTATTAGATCAAAACCATCATCTTTTGTAATATTTTATGTTTAATTTATACAACTATTTTATAAATAATAATTTAATAAATTTTGTGTTTGATTGTCATATTTTGTAATAATTGTCGTTTAAATAATGAATAAAAAAATTTCGGACCTGACCTGACCTGACCAAAAAATTTTGGTGTTCGGACCCGTACCTGACCTGACCTGAGCCCTAACTTTTACCTGACCTGACCTGACCTGAAAAATCAGGTCAGTTTTCAGTCTCTAATGTATATATATAAACATCGTTTCATAAAAACTGACACTAATTTAAATTGAATTAAATTGAGTTATAATTAAATTTATCGAAAAATAATTATTATTTAATTAAAATATAATATATAAAGATTAAAATAAGTTGTAGTTTAATATTAAATTAGTCCGTTTGGTCTCTCTAATTCACTATTATAATCGATATTTCGGTAACATAATTTACGACTCCGGAAGTTTGTACCGAAATTATCTTAAATATCATTGATATTGACCATCCAGTTCTTTGTGGTGCATCCAATATGTTTGTCTAACCTTTATCTTTGGTTAGAAAGGAGCAACATCATAAAAAATTACCATGGTTAATAACCAAGACATTTAAGATAATTTTTGTCCAGAATTCTAAAAAATTTACTATCGGGTAACTAAATCCCGATTAAAAGTGGTAATCATAGAAATAATTTAAAGAAAAAAACGGGAACAGATTCTTACATAATATACTATTTGAATATATTATTTAAAATCTATTATAATTATTAATTTTGCTATTATATTGTAGTTTACTTTAGTTAAGTAAATTTAGTGTCAGTTATTATGAAACAAGGTTTATATATATATATGATAATAATAATTTTATACCTTATATACCTACCTATCTACCCACCTATCCAACCTACACACCCGACCCACTACTAATTAATATATTATTATATATTTATAATATATATATATCTATGATTGAAACCAAACAACTACTTTAAATATTATCTAGTACAATTATACTAGTGTAATATTATTATGGTTTTTTTTTTTAAATAATATCACTTATATTATATAATATATAAAATTTGTTTTTATAAGGTATCAATTGAATTCAATATATGATATATATATATTCAATAGATATTTAATTTAAATATAATATATATATATAATAAGTTGATTTTTTACAAGTATATATATATATGTATTAAAAATATATTTTTTATTTTTATTTGTTTGACTACTAAGTTTTTTTTTTATTTTGCTAATTTATATTCAATTAAACATTACATACATGTATAGACATAATAAAAATACAGTTTGCATTTAATTTTTATTTATTTTTTTTGCTAATATAAATTATATTATATACTTATATAATAACTAGAAAAAAACTATATTTTTTTGCCTTTTTTTATATAACTAAAAGTTTATACTTTATGTGTGTATATATAAATATAAAGGTGCTATAATTTATAAAAATATTTATATAATAGTATCTAATTTACTCAAATAGTTATTTTTTAAAAAAACTAAAACTAAAAAATACATTACATTAAAGTTGTTTTAAATAGTATTATAAATGTATTGTTATTGTATTGTACTATATATATATATACAGGTATATATATATATATATTTATATATATACAATACCAAACCAAATACATACAAAAAAAAACAAACAAATAG